TGTTGACTCTCCATTGTAACTTTTATGAGAAGATACAATGTTAAATATTACTGTTATTCTAATATATATATACAGTATAATAATAATGTAATAAGTTTTATATATTATCGCTCTATATTTTATACATATCTTACGGTACGATTTTGAACACGTTATAATATATTAATAATATAGTATATTATTTTGAATTTATACCAGATGAATCAGGCCTGTAAGGAGGTCGAGTCGGTATCGTTTCAATCGTTGATCCACTTCCGATAGGCGCTGCTTATTAAAAAGTAGTCACATATTTATTTCAGTTACACTTATACACATATATATATATATATATATATAGATTCTTATTTACGCACTTCCTCCACTTGGTATTGCGAGAGGTGGAACATTCGTGTTTGTATATTGCGCACACACCATGGGAAAAGACAACTCTCGCCATGGTGTAATTACACCATGATGCTCGTGGTGATCATGTTTGTCTCCGTTTGCATGATGTTCATGCTTGTGAAGGAAAAGTTCTACATCCCTTCCTGGCTGAACAACGCGATAACCCCATCCGTCACTGATGTAAAACGTTGCTTTTAGTTTGCCAAAAGGGTCGACGTAGCCATAACACCCATAGGTGATTCCATGTGGACCACGTGTTTCATGATGGAATTGACCATGTGGATTGACGTCGTAACCATATTTGTATGCATCTATAAAATGCAGTAACCAATTGTAATTGCAATTTTTCATATTTAAATTTTTACTACAAAAAAGAAAGAAGACCATAATTTTTACGTCCCATTTTAGATAGAATTTTATTCTTAAAATGGAGCGTATATATGTTAAAATTATAGACTTACTTTATTTGTGTATTAAATTTCTTATTGTCTGAGCTTCTTTTCATCATTTTTTTAATTTTTTTAACTTGCCTGATTCGAAGTTTTGGCTTAAGTACTGAATTTTTTGTTCATCGCTGATACTCAAAATCACATCGCCATCTCGATTGGTGTTTGTTAATTCCTGAGTGAGTTGCGACATGGAAGTAGCAATCACCTAAAAAATAATTGTTTGTTTTTACTGTTTAACAAAGCAGAAATAAATCAAATCTATATGCTATGCTATGCTACATAGTTATTAACATTTCTTTCTTAACACTCTTTATTTTATTTTAATTTTTTAAAATAAATTATATCTAACGTTTCACGAAGAGCAAAAAATACTATTTATTAATAGTTGTATGCGGGCTGCGTCAAAGAATAATTTGTTCAATGAATTAAAGGATTAAGTGACTAAAAATGAATGGTAAGACAAATAGAAGGTTGAATTAGAAATAGAAAAAAATTATATTGCGTCTACAGAAACTGATAATGTGGCATTAAATCGTTAATGATTCTAACAATCATAAAAGTTAGTATCTATAAAGTCCTTACGATTGATAAAAATCCGAAGATATTTGTGTTTTATATACAAGTGATATTTCTCAATATTTACTTATAGAGTTATAACTGCAGTTTATGTCTATGAATTTGCTTAAACTGTATTTACAAAGATATTATGTTATTTTTATACAATAAATTTTTTTATTAATAAGAAACAGTTGCTAATCGCAATAATTTGCTTTGTCAAGGCTCGTGACATTTCCAATGAGGCATGATGATAATTATCGAGTTGTGTTTAAAAACAGTTGGCCTTTAATATCAGTCGGTAGAATTAAGTATTTGATGCGATCTGCAAGCGCGCATCGTGAAATATCAGAGTCGGCATTTCCAGTTTCTGCAGCTAGAGCGATTTATAATTCTAGCTATTAATTTTCCAAACATTGTGCAACTGATAACACGCAGTATATAAAGTATTTTAAATATAAATTATAACTTGACTTGAATGTGAGAAAAAAAGAAGAAAAGGAAGAAACAAAAAGAGGGATGAGAGAGAGAGAGAGAAATTTATAAAAATCTAATAAGTTTTGTTTCATTTTTTAATACAATTTCTTACGGTTTTTGTGCGTATTATCCTCTTCTAAAAAAAATGGAAATATTTATTTAAAAAATTATGTTATATTTGAAATAAATAATACTAGGTATTTTTGCGATATTTATGCATACTTATATTTTGTTTCAACAATTTATGTGCTAATAAAATTTTAATAAAAATTTATAAATCTTAAATTTAAAATTATAATAAAATATTAAACATATTTTTGTTACGTTTATGACTGAAGAAAAAAATCTGAATTTTAAAAGTTAAAATAAAATCAATGTATGCATATTTCTTTTAGCAGAATATTCATCAATAAGGGGTCTGTTTTCCATTTTTGAACTTGTTGCTATTGCGTTTTGATGAAGTAACATATGCTTTCACTTCTCAGATATGCTAGGAAAACTAAAGCTCTCTCTGCCGTTTCTGATCTCAATTAATTATCCATTCTATATAAGCGAAAGTCGAAAGCGATTAATTACTGACAGTAGAAATTCTTATCCAATTTTTAATTATCTGCATCAAGTAATAATTTAGAAGAATCTTGCATATATACATATTATATTACACATATATGCATCGCGCGCGTGTGCATGTGTTAAGTATTGATATTACGTACGTATGATCCATTCATATATAAACGTGATGATATAATTTTGTAATGACTGCATAATATTGGGTGCAAGATTATTCTAATTTAATTGAGATTGAGTTTGATTCTTCAAGTTTATAGTATATTCGTGATTCGCATATTTACCTTTTGTTGGCGATATATATGCATGTGCATAATACGAAACAATGGCCGTATGCACTCACGTTTCGGGAGTTTACATTCGTACGGTATTCGTATCCTTTTCTGCATACGAAATATATAACGGTCTTCTGAATTTATTTAAATTCTGAACGTAAAAATAAAAATCTGTTTAACCTACTTTAGAGTACTTTAAATATCTTTATTTATTCTTTTAACTGTATAGACAAATATGATTTATAAAAATAATTACAGGGCTTTTTGTTTTTTGACTAAATAATATATATTTAGAAAGATAGATCAAAAAGCATTCTTTTTTTATTTAAATGCGACAAACAATTTAATTAAATAAACTTATAACAAATATTATAATAACTTATAATAACAGTTTTATATTTGCTGGAGTACATCAAGATTATCTCGCGTCAAATACGCATCACATATATCCATATCCATATAATTGTTTTCTAGCTGAGGATCGATATCTTAATTGAGTCAATTGCCTTAACCCCTTGCAGGACTGTCTATTTAGGAAGTTGCGAATTTTCGTACCTACTTTCTTTCATTATAATCATATGGATTTTTTATGTTTAAAAGTGTGCAGTATTTCCTTGTACAAAATAATTATTTACAAAATTATTATATCACCACTTGTAAGGCCCATGTTATTCGAACACTCAATAATAAATTTATTTTTTATTAAAGAATTGAATTATGCAACTATATAAGAATAGATAATACAGTTATGTAAGGACTATATTAGTATCGTTGTTTTAGGGTGAACTAATTCGGAAATAAAATCTGATATATCCGGTACCAAATTCGAATTCTTGCCCAACCTATCTTGCTATTCTATCACTGACAAGCCTTATTGGTTTAATAATAACGGGACATCTATATTCTTGTAAGAATGTCGCCGACTGCCATTTCGAAAAAATAATGGATGATCTGTCAGAAACTCGCGTTGTCGTATCCGCAACCTCCCTAAATGGCGACATAGCAGATAAAAATATTTCTTTCACAAATATGGTTCGAGCAAAAATCAAGATAAGCATATGATGTCAGAGTTTCTCCTTTACAATTATTTAAATTTAGATGCATTCAGTGAATGTTTATAATCACAGATTCCAATATACAATATACCAGAATAAGAACGTTAAGAAACAAAAGAATGTCATACCCTATTGCGTTTATTCGTTTGCCGGTCTTTTAATCAATTATGAAATATACACTTAATAATTTAGTTCTTTCGTGATCGCATAAATTGAGATTTCTTGAAAGATATAAAGAAATATTTTGCCACAATAATTAGATTAACCAAGACTGATCCATTTAATCTTCTAATTTTTTATAACAAATTAACACATTTTTTTTCTCTTATGTCACAATGTCTCATTTCGTATTATATCGGTGTCGAAAATGACAAAAATTTTTAAACAAAATATTCTAATTAGAAAACAATATGTTAAATCGTATGTGTAGAGGTGTGTGTGTGTGTGTGTGTGTGTTTGTGAGATGTGTATGCGTCTATGAGTACAAGTGAAAAAAATGTCTTGGAATCTGTATAAAAATATATCAAAAGCAAAGCATTTTTAGAGAGAAATGTTAGAAATAGTGAGTTTGATATAGGTATTATTATGCACTCTAAATAGACATCTAATAATCATATTTATACTATAGTTTAACAACTTGTAACTTATCAAAAATATTTTTACGTATTATATATTTATATAGATTATTTTCCAACTTTTTATTTTAATTTTTATTTTAACTTAAAATATTTCGAGTTCCGTGTCCTTTCACAATTATTAATATTTCATCTAGGTGCCATATAAATTTGATCTTTCAGTATATTTTAGTAATCATTAGTATTCCAATACCACATTTCATTCGGCTGTCATGCGTATACAGCGCAAAAGTGGCACGTATCCTGGTATCGACTAAGTTAGGTTTGGCCAGGATCCACGGTCGCGATTGATGATCTCAACCGTTGTTCCACCCACGAGAAGGGAAAGTCGCGATTCCAAGAAGGCTACGCGAGCGGGACTCCTCTTCGTCGTTTTCTTTCTTTCAGTCCCGGGTTGACAGACTATATAACGAAAGGTTAATATATGCTAGCTCCCGACCTAAACCCTTCTCCACCGCGCACTTGCAGCGTCAAATGGTGCCGTGACGATTAATGCCTACGGTATTTATGTCGCGATATTTTAGTGGACAATAGCAAGATCGTTTCAAGTCAAAGCGACCATAGCGTCCAAGCTAGCTGTTTGCTTTTCAAGGCGATTCTAACGTGATCTTTAGACTCAAAGAGATAAAGTAAAATGTTATTCCAAACTTCCTGTACAATTTTTAAAATTACCACTTAAAAGATTCTATGAATAATCTGTAAACTCTAATAATAAAGTGTAAACTTTAAATTTCTAACTCGCTAGTGTAAGTATTTATTAGAAATATTTTAATGCTTCATTTTAATAATAATATAGCACACAAACGTATATTAGTCGTTAAAAATTAAAATAATAAATGGAGTATGATACGATTAGATTTATTCGCAAGATATGTCTATGTTTTCAAAAGTATAACCGTATATCTATCTAGGTGCATTTATTTAAACATATTAAAAGCTAAACTCATTTTAAAGCTTAAATTAAAATTGATATATTTGCGCTTATTGAATTAAAATTTTTATTAATTTATAAAAATAATATTCGTAATAATAACAATTGAAGTAAAATTTTATCCCACTTAATTACGATATTGTAAATTATTATAATCTTATCAAGATTAGATCAAGATTAATTTCAATTTCTCTCTTGAAGGAAATGTGGAGTCATCAGTCATACGATAAAATATGTTAATTTATGCGACGTCGGTCGCGTCGTAAGTCAAACTTTTCGTGTGCGCAGCTCATATAACACGAATGTCCCAGACCTAGTGAATCACCCTTAATCTATAGTAATTTCATTAATTGATTTATTTTATCTGATTTTTTTAACTATATTATAATATATCTTATTTTATTTTATTTATTCTAGTTAATTCATTATCTTAATTTATTTATCTTAATTATTCATTATTTAATTTTTAGCATCCATATTTAATATTTTGATGTCAAGCTGATATTATTTCATGTGTATTGTGGTAGTGACAAAATATTGGAAAAACAAATAAATTGGAAAGATGCAAAGTGTTAATTTAATTGTATCTATATAGTGTATCATCTCGTCTTTATCACAATCATTCTAGTGTATCAATCTCGTATTTACTTATCATAACTTTTTTATCTAAAAAAAGAGAAAGAATAAAAAATAGAAGAAACAAAAGAATGAGGGAATCAGCATTCCGTTCAGGAATCTGCCAGGAGTATCAAAAAAGTGACTGTTCTATCATTTCAATCGAAGACCATCAACCTTACATGATTGCAACTCTCATTCTTGATTATGCAAAGAGTGCAAGACGATCTTTATATACTATCGTGTTAGAAGTCACTATTCAACCTTTTCTTTAAACTGCTGATAGATCAAATTGCTTTCACGGTATTTTGATTTAGCATATATAATTGTATAAATTCCGCGGTATTATAATACGTAATTATAATGTCATGTAATTCTTCTAATTATATATTTTTATCATTGTTATCGTAATGTCGATGAAATTATTTTGCAAATAGAATTATATTACATTATAATTACAATTATAAAGTGAGATTGTTATAGTTATTTTATTTTTTATTACAATAAAATAAAATTATTATAATTAAAATATTGATATAAAAATTATAATATTTTATTTTACAGCTGATTAAACATTTTTAACAATTTAAGGACAAAATTTATTTTAAACAAATGTTTATAATCTTATTATAACAATAATTTTTTTCATCTTTTCTACTTTGTGAAATTTCTATTACATGTTGCATTTAAAATGTACGTATGGTATGTTATAAAAATTTATAAATAAATTTGTAATTAAATTGTCAAGCAATCAAATTTTAATGAATTTAATCAAATATTATTTTTAATACTAATTGCTTTAATTGCCATATTTTTTGCTTCTGTTAATCTTTTTATTTACATTTTTTCTATATAATATGTTTTTTCTATAAAAAGAAAGAGAGATAATATTGCAGATAACTAGTATTTAAAATTGCATATCTGCAAAATTGCAGTATCTGCAAATCTGATTATCAAGAATCAATCGATTTTGTAAACATACAAAATATGCGTTCAAGACTAAAGGTAAACGCGATGGCATTTGATGCAGCCGGATATCTTAATTGCTCGTGGCGAATCTGCCAGTCAAAGCATGGCCAAAGCTGTATCACCTTATGAATCACACGCAGGGGCCGGATCATCTTCCAGTGAAAGTCACCTGTAAGTAGTTGCGTAAGGGACAAGTGATTTAGCCTAGGGCGAAGCCTTTGGTACATAATTGTATGTCAATCGCATCGATCTTACAATCAGTGAGATCGCATTGAAAAAATATTTTGATAAATTAATCACCATAGGGAAAATTAGAATAGCTGCTTTTAATTATGCCAACATTTTGTATCGCGATTGTATAAAAAAAATTATTAATTGTTAAGCAAGTTTGTTGAAGCAACATATGTCTTAAATAATTAGAAGTATATACTGAATGCACAAAGTACATTAATAACTATTTGTTATTGTTACAACTTTTTTATTCTCTTTTTTTATATCTCACTGTTGGGAAATTCTACCAATTTTCAATATCTCGAATTACGAATAATCCACGTAGCTATTTTCTTTTTAGAATCAAAGTTTATTAACTAACATTTCTCGAATAATGAGATTGCAAGAAAAAAAAGAGCTATAATTTGAAATTTATTGGTAAAATGTGGGCTTCAAAAATATTTTCGATTATCTTCTTTAAGCTTTTTTGACAGATTATTTTATTACTTATTACATTATAAAATGTAATAAATGTATATTTTTAATATAATATTTAAAAGTAATAACTTCTACTGACAATGAATCTTGCAAAATCAAGATTTCAACTAAATTGGCAATGGCACGTAGGAATTCAATGACACGAAGATCTATTATACAGAAATGTGCGTTTTCTATTTTAAGCAGTTTTATTTAGATTACACGTGTGCACGCTTAAGATGTGTCATTCACGACACTTGCGACAACTGGATGACGATATAACTTGACACGATCTTCTATTGGCAATGAACTTTTCCCTAAACGTATAGCTATTTTGTAATTGATAATTACTCGTGAAAAAGACAAAGAAATCGTTATTTAGAGTGACTAAAGTACCATATGAAATAGCTAAAGTACGTATATGTCAATTTCGTTTGTGTATCTCTCTTCTATCTAATCTATTTCTGTAATTTTGGATATCTTGATAATTGTAATATAATATTCAATTTCCTACTTAAATTAATTCTTTTTTAATTAAATAATAAATAAGAATTTGTTATATATTTGTATTAATGTAAATTATAATATATAATTCGTAAAACCCCTATATATATATATATTTTTTTTTTATTATTATTATTTATACGAACATAAAGAAAGTGTAATATAACTTTTCTATAAATGCATAATAAAAATAGATTTATTAAACAGATTGATTATTAGATATTGTACTTTGTATTTATGTGTGCGTGTGGATGTGAGTGGACGCGCATAGATTGAACTACTTGTTACATTATTTCAATTGTTTCTCATTTCAGGAAAAATATTTTGAATAAAAATAAATAGAAGCTTTACATCTTAAGGAAAAAATATGTTAATTTAATGGAAAAATTGCAAATTCGGGATAATCAAAATAATGTATTACGTACGATTGTTATACGATATCATTGTAGTGCCACGGTATTGAAATGAATTATGAATGAAATGTAGTGCAACGGCATTTTCTTGAATGAGTGTCAATATGAATGAAAGATTAGATAACGAGTCACGACAAACGCATGCAGCTATTACCAAGTTATAATCAGTGCCACTTTCTATTACGTACTATAATTACATAAATAATACTATCACATTACTATGTAATAGTATTAATACATATTGATAATATTAATATTATTAGTCCATATCATTAATATTAATAGAAAATAGTAGTGACGTATTTATCAATAGCGTTTGCATACGTCTTTTTCATATTTATAATTAAGTACACTTTTATTAAATTTTTTACATAGTACTCTTTTTCTTATATAATTCTAGATAATATAAAGATAATATAATAATGAGATATCTTAATATAATGTAGTATTAAAAAATTATACATGAAAAATTAGAAATCAAATAGCAAATAGTAAAAAATACATCGTATATCAAGAGATATGCAATGTATCATATATCTTATATGAAGTATACGTGTAGTAATACACGCAACAGGTAGCGAGCGTATGCACCTACGAGACATTAATATGTCTCATGAATATTTTACATTAACATATCTCAATAATACTTATCGTTGGATCGAATTTCCAATAGATTTTATCGGTAGCGGAGATTTCAATTGCAGACATTATGAAAATATCATGTATAAAAATTGATAAATATATGTATGTATATATAAATTATATATTTTAAAAATCGTGAATCATACACAAATAGTAAATAATAAAAGATAAATATTAAATAAGAAATATTAATATTAAATTTTAATTGATTATTTATTTGAATTATTGAATAATTATTTTTATCGATTTATTTATAAAAATTTTGTTAAATTATTTTCCTTTGCAGAAATATTTTCTTATTTTTTGAATATTAAAAATGAGCAATTTAAAATTTATTTGTATTATTATTACTATATATATTTTTTTATTATGTTTTATTATGTTATCTTATATCTTTATTATATTATATCTTTATCTGCTACTAGAAAGGACGTGTGAATAACTAGCTATTGTTTTAATATCTAATTACCTGTTTTGCTCGTTTATTGTCCATTCTTTTTAATTGCTTTGCAAATATGAGCTCAACTTTTGTATATTACTTTATCTGTTGGTTAAAGAACTCAAGATTGCAAACGGTTAAAAATATATCATTCTGAATTATATTAAATTTTCAACTAATTTAATTAAGTGTGATTCTTTATAATAATTTTGAATAATAATATTTTATATGTTGCAAAAGTTGGGTTTGATCAAATTCAGCTTTTCTCAAAATTAATGAGTTTTCAAATAGCAAATATATAATTAAATGAGTTTCTTGAACTCTGAGATATATGTATAAAGAGAAATACTGAAGATGACGTACCAAGATAAAGAGGGCTGCAGTGGCACGCCGCAGCATCTTGACGAGAATCCTTTTTCAGCAGGGCATTGTCCGCAGCCTCTTTATAATGACGACGAGGATGATCCTCAGAGATAATCGCACGCAGCGCGTCGTTCGAACTGAACACGTCGCTGGTAGAAAAAGACTTTTATACAGGGTGGGGATCGCCGACCCCCCAACAGGTCTCATCCTCGCTCTATCTTCTCTTTTCCTTATTCTTCTTCGTTTCAATTTCTTGAGAATCGCTCTTATACTTTCTTTCATTTCCCCTCTCTTATCTTTCTTTTTTATGCAGAACGTAATTCATTCCAATTATCGATACCGATACAATTACTTTGATATATTATTCAATTCTCAACTTTATTGTTATATCGTAATTTTTTTTCACAGGTCTCATCCTCGCTCTATCTTTTCTTTTCCTTATTCTTTTTCGTTTCAATTTCTTGAGAATCGCTCTTATACTTTCTTTCATTTCCCCTCTCTTATCTTTCTTTTTTATGCAGAACGTAATTCATTCCAATTATCGATAACGATACAATTACGTTGATGTATCATTCAATTCTCAACTTTATTGTTTGCAAGCATTTTGAATTGTTTACTTTAAAAAGGACATCGCTTACAATGTCCTGTCTTTCATAAAACACGAGAAGCAATTGTGATTGCTTTAATATAAAATAACCACGGTAATAAAATATCAAAAGTATTTTAAAACTCTATTATTTCATTGATTTACTACATTTAATTATCTTAAATTATTAATGTTAATTTTGTTTTTATAGAACAATTCTTTTAGATTTTCTATCCCTGCCGAATAAAGGGTTAAATTAATATCAATATTAGATACCTTTTGCGGCGAATTGTTGCCATTATTACACACTCTTTAGTTTCTGATAAATAAATGGCGAATAGACCTTGATTAAAAATACACTACTCAAAATGTAGTTCAGGTGCGCTCTTACGCAAGTGCACTTAGGTCTCTTTGGTTTATGGCTCCCACGCTTACTGAACAACCAGATGAATTAATCTCGAATTAATTCAAGTAAATACTCCATACATGGTTAACGGTGGTGGCGCGAATTCTTAGCGCGAGTTCTTGGCAAATGTCAAGATGATTAACAAGAATCAATTAACTACATGGGTCATGGCGTTTAATTGAATTCGAAGAACACTGGAACACTTTCAACGTCCTTCATGCGATTGTTTAAACATAGTGACTTTTATAAGGCTTTGTGCATATTCTGGATAATCTCAGCTTCAGAGAAATCTTGTTTCTAATCGACTTATCGCATAATACAGGTTTATCTGTTTAGAAATAATCCCTAGAAATCTAACGTGCTTTGTCATTATTGGAGCAATAGACATCGTAGTACATGTATCCGCCAGGGTTATTTCCATTCTTGTTGTAAAACTCGAAAGATGACGATCAAGAATAGATTAAAATTTAAATAATAGTACACAGATCAGTTCTAATATTTATTTAAATCCTATGATTTTATTTATTTTTTAGTTCTAATAAGTATTTATATACAAAAAATAATTATATAATATAATATATAACAAATATATAACTATATGTATATAATATGAAGATGTTCACTTGAATCCGAATATACTTTAATAAAAGATTATAATCTAATTTTTTAATAAATTGTAAAAAAATTTACAGAAGCTGAGTTTTAATTTAATTTTAGTGATGATAAAATGAGGACAAAGAATGAGTCACTTTTATACCGAGCAAGATTTTAAATTCTTATTATGACGTATACGATGTCCTTTTGGGAGACAATTTATTTAGACGACTAACTTCGTCCACGGAAGTGCCGCGTACATTTTTCGACTGCAGAATGATATGTATTGCGGTTTTAGCATATTTGTAGACGATATTAATCTCTAGCAAATGTGTAAGATAGGTATTCCTGATTTAAGAAGATGCGCTTGAAAATGATCGAAACTTCAAACATTTTAATTTTTTTTAAGTAAATTATCTCCTACGCACTTTGAATTATATGAAATAATATCTGGAAACATTCTAAAGCAAGTCTAAAAAAATTAAATATATAATCCTCGCGCAAAACAGAATAGACCGGTCACATCTGCGACCGGGCATGTATGTTAAAATAAAGCCCACTTGAAATTGAAGAAGTTAAGAATTTATAGTTTGTTTATATTTCTAGGGTTTTATTTTGCAACAAATCCTCCTTTTCAATCGTTAACAGGAGGTTTAATCGCTAGAATTATTTCACCTTCAACGCTTATTTTATTAGAGAAATTTTGCATTAATTAAAAAATTTGTAAAAAAGATAAAAGGGGTAAAACTTTGTTAAATATAGAGTACCTTGTATAGCAAATACGGTATGAGAAAGACACGACATTGAGTCTCGCCACAAAAATCTTCAATGCGCTTGTTGCCATTCCAGCAGCAGATATATGCTTTTCGCATGCCGCTGGCGTAAGGCAGTTCTTCACGATGTCAGCGCATTGATATGAATATTTACGTGTCGTTTAGAGTGCACTCGTTTCCTGTTTGTTTTACTGTTACAGATATGCAAAACTTAAGGATATCTTTATAGTGAAGACATAAATTTGTGATAATTACTTTACTTTAGATTTAAGGTTGGATTAGATTTGTTATTTGGAACGTACGAGAAGCGACTATTTGACTAATGATTATATTAGATTAGATTACGTTATAATTTATTACGAAATTCTTGAATATTTGGAAGGACAGCTCGAAAGAAAGCTTGCCTACGTAAGAAGATAGTAAATGTGAAAATTTGTTAACATATGCTCAATTCGGAAATTCAAACGAGTAAAGTTAATTAAGCATTCAATATTCTGCCTCCAATATATTTTTTGATCATCGATTTATCATTACAGCGTGTATATTCGAAAACAAAGTTTTACTAACAATAAGTAGAAAAAATGAAATATTGTGTCTAAATATCGTACTAAATATAGATAATATAATTGCGATATATCGTGGAAATATAAGTAATCTTCCTCTCTGGAATTAGCATTTAAAATAAATTTTAACCGCTTTTAAAATAAAATACGAAATATGCGTGAAATACCTTATAAAACATTGCGATATATAAATTAATTTTAGTTTGTTGAATCTACGAATGTTTACAAAATCAAAATACTTTGATTTGGAATTTTGGATGGTGGATACCAAGTACCTTTTAACATTGATCTTATTTGAAATACTTAAAAGACCTTCCAGAATCAATACTTTATTTTTTATAATAAGTATTTTGACCGGTTGTAGAAATTATTCTATTTGTACAAACTATTGTAAAAATTCGAGTAATTTACTAACGTAAAATTATAATTTTGAAAATTGATATTTTTCTTCTTTATTTTAAAATACTTTATCAAATTTGATAGCCGTTACTTTAATAAATCTAGAATCTATTTTTTATAACAAAAATTTGAACAAGTAGCACTTTTCCACAACTTACAATTAGCCTATATATTAGATTTCTTAATAATTAAAGTTGATTAAAATTTATAAAAAATAATGTTCCAACGAGTAGAATAATATAGAATATAGAAAGTGCAAGCAAAAGGGGCAGACCTATTAAGTCAACTCTGAATTATGCATATATCTTGTATTAATTCATCTTAAGTAACCAGATGCCGGAAACATATCAGAATTTATTGACACCTATAGGAAAGAATTTGAGAGTTCGGTACGACAAATTGATGTGCTAATGTATGATAGAAATTTGCCTCAAAGACGCCACATTGGGGACGAATTTTATTACTGGAGAAAGTGCTTAATTGCTTAACGTACGTAAGATCTATTCGTTTTTTATAACTCAGCGTTTATATGTATATGAAATAAAAATTAATATAAAATATAACCATTTTTTTATGAAGTACGAGAGGGAAGAAGTGTGGAAAATATAATTAAAACGTTATAAGCATGTTACTCTCCATTACCTTGACCGCTACATTTGGAATGTCAGTTCAGGTTACTGACACGGAATTTTTTTTTCTTTTATGCAGACCGAGTAATTAGAAGTCTTTCGGCGAATTTAGTAGATTAAGAGATTGCAAAATTTTAATATCTATTATTTATTTAAGTTATCTTGTTAGATCCCAGCTGAGACATTTTCATTCTTAAAAAATAAAATAAAGCAAACGCAATAAAGTAGCAGATATCAGTATAACTCGAATCTTGATGTTAACGATAAAAAATGTCGACAGCCGCTTAACATCTTCCACGTATAATTTCTCGCAATTAGCACACGCAATTTGTGTTGGAGACTCCCTCCTTTTTGAGGATTTATATTCGTGTTGCGTGCAGCATGTTGAAAAGTGTATGGGTTTATCTCGTGAGGTCGGCTGCAGGTAAATCATTGTCTTTGCGAGAAGGTTAAGGACCTAAGCTATTAGGGTGAGCAAACCGGTTTCATATTCTTATTCGTAACATGAAATTGCTTTAGGAAGTCCGCAGATCCTTTTTTTTTTACTGACAGCTGGCCGACGGAATAATGGTTGACATAATTTTTGTAAACTGATGTATTTAAAACCATTATTCATCATGTCACATTTGATATATTAAAATTTCCGAGGATACGTAAAAAAAAAACACTTATTGTGCGAGTAAAATTGATTCCACGAAATCTACGAATAAAATTAACACGGTTGTCACAGCTTGTTGTCATTTTAGATATTAACGGGATAAAATATGAACGGATAAAATATGAGAATAACAGGAGCCTATCAATATAGATATAATACAGGAATATAGATTTTTATCTCTTGTTATTATCCTTTGTTTCTGGTAAGAACGTATAAGACAGCGGCCATCTGATCGATCTATTACATGGATCAAGTACATTCGCTCCGCATTTGATCAACACCGCGATTGGTCATACAATGTAGGTTGCTGCAATGGTCACATTCTGCAAACTCGTCGCGAATCGAGGATTCTCCTTTTTTTCCATACATTTTTCCGCGTATCCTTTTACGGATTTCTGTGACTAATATGGATTTTCTACTGGAAAGTTCTTTTTACACATTCCATCTGAACAAGATAGCTAAAA